GGCCCAATGAATAGAGCATCGGCCTGCGGACCAAAGGGTCCCGGGTTCGATTCTGGTCAAGGGCACAGACCTCGTTTGCAGGCCCCTCCACCGCCCGGGCCCTGGTCCGGGGCACATGCAGGAGGCAACCAATCGATGTGTTTCTCTCACATCGATGTTTCTCTCTGTCTCTTCCTCTCTCTTCCACTCGCTCTAAGAATCAATGGAAAAAAATGTCCTTGGGTGAGGATTAACAAACAAAAACAACAACAACAACAAACCATCTCCATGGCCAATGGCAGAGCTGGTCCCCGCTGTCCCTGGGCAGGGTCTCCCGGAAGCCTGTGCCTCCTCGGGCACTTGTCCCACCCAGGGCGCCACTCCTTTCTCTGCCCTGCGCACTGTTGACCTTCTCACCCCTAGAGGCTCAAAGGAAGGGCTGGGGACAGACTGGGGCCTGGATGGGCTGTGACTGGGAGTCTGGCCCCACCAAGGCCCCCAGGCCCTGCTGCCCCCTCTCCCACCTCTGCTCCCGCAAGTTTTAGCCGCTGATTCACACAGTTTCCCTCCCTTTCTCCCCACCACCCCGCCAGGCAGGCACCGTTAATCCTCACTGACAGTGAGGGACCTGGGGCCAGGCAGGCTGTGACTCGCCCGGAGCCACTCACTGCAGACTCGAGTGCAGGTCTGCCTGACTCCGGTGCCCACATGAGGGCAGGAGCCGGCCAGTCTCCAGGGGTCACGGCAGACGGGGGCTGGAGGGGACAGAGGCCCTCGGGCCCCGTGATGCTCTGGAGGGAGCAGGGCTGGGGGGTCTGAGGGCTCCAGGGGCCTTGCTTGGCACAGAGGCACCGCAAGAGTGAGGTTGTCACTCGGTCCTTTGCTTCCAGTCACAGCTGCTAATGAGCTGGCCTGCCGAGGCCTGGACCACCTGGAGGAGAAGATCCCGGCCCTCCAGTACCCCCCTGAGAAGGTGAGCCCCTCTCTCTTCTCTCAGGGGAGGGGGGTGCAGGCCCTGGATGCCCTGACCGGGAGTCGTTCATTTCTGTGGCGAGCGCCTTCCCAGGCTGGGGGCGGCTGCCTGCCCCTCAGGCCACGCACTGCGCTCCTTCCTGGCCCCGTGGAGGCAAAGGAAGGCAGGCTTTCTGGCACCAGCAGGTACAGGGTAGGTCCCCTAATCCCAACACCCCCCACCCCCCTCGAGACCCCCCGGGAGCCTGCATTGGACCCAGTGGTGTCCGCAGCCACCTAAGATCCTGGTCACACCCATAGATCCCAGGATTGCAGGCCCATGTCCTCCAGATCAGCCCTGTATGGGCCTGAGGCTGAGGAGGCACCGCCCCTGGATACATAGTTGCTGGGTATTTGTTATGGTAACGCCCCTGTCAGGTGCTTTGGGGGAGTAAGTCTCTGACCTCGCCCATCTCACTGACCAACCATTTATCCATCCCACAGACAGTTACTGATTTCCCCCTTCCCCGTGCCAGGGCCGCAATGCGTGATTTCTAGAGCTGTCTCATGTCACCCTCCTGTCAGTCCTGAGGATGGGTGGTTGTCCCCATTTTACAGATGGAAAAACTGGTGCCTTCCCGCTGGTCTCACAGCCTCAGGGGAGGCCCTGAGAGCGGGTCTGTTTGGCTCCCAGGCCTGTGCTCTGCTGTGTTCTTTTTCCAGATGAAGGGCAACATCTTTGTCACAAAGGAGGGCCCAGGCTAATGGGAGAGACTCATTCTTTTTTTTTTTTTTAATCCTCACCCGAGGATATAATTCCATTGATTTTTAGGGAGAGTGGAAGAGAGAGGGAAAGACAGAGAGAAACATTGATGTGAGAGAAACACATCGATTGGTTGCCTCCTGCACGAACCCCGCCCAGGGCCCGGGCCGGGGAGGGGCCTGCAACCGAGGTCCGTGCCCTTGACCGGAATCGAACCCAGGACCCTTTGGTCTGCAGGCCGATGCTCTATCCGCTGAGCCAAACCCGCGAGGGCAAGACATGTTCTTTCATTGCAGAACGAGCAGGAAGCTCAGCCACATCCATAAATCGTTGTAGATGCAGCCGGGCTGTGAGCAGTGCTCTGAAGGGAGGTCAGAGCAGACAGAGGAGTTTTGAAGGACGGACGTCTGTGTGCACAGGGCAACAGGGCGGCCCTGGGGCACCCCCAGAGGGGTTAGGGTATCAGTAGGCAGCACCGATGCAAAGAAGCCTGGTGGTGAGCAGGCGGTTGGCAGGGGAGGGTTAGAGCCCTTCCCCTCTTAAGCCCTGCTTAATCCAGGGCCCAGATATTGGTGCCAGTCCCCTGGGCCTTTTTTTTAAAAAAAAAATTTTTTTTTAAATTTTTTTAATTGATTTCAGAGAGGAAGGGAGAGGGTGAGAGATAGAAACATCAATGATGAGAGAGAATCAGGGATCGGCTGCCTCCTGCACGCCCCCTATTGGGGATCGAACCCGCAACCCGGGCATGTGCCCTGACTGGGGGTCGAACCGTGACCCCCTGGTTCATAGGTCGATGCTTAACCACTGAGCCACGCCGGCCGGGCTCCCCTGGGCCTTTCACGTACCTGACCCTCCTCCCCACTCCCCCAGATCGCCTCTGAGCTGAAGGGCACCATCTCCACCCGCCTCCGCAGCGCCAGGAACAGCATCAGCGTGCCCATCGCCAGCACGTCGGACAAGGTCCTGGGGGCCGCCCTGACCAGCTGTGAGCTCGCCTTGGGGGTGGCCAAAGACACTGTGGAGTACGCCGCCAAAACCCGAGTCGGCCGGCTGGCCTCCGGGGGCGCCGAGCTGGCCGTGGGCGGTATGGAGAAGGTGGTGGAGTTCCTCATCCCTCCAGCCAAGGACGAGTCAGGTATCTGCCCGCAGGGGCTGCCAGTCCCTCCCTGGGGAGTGAGTTGGCCCCTGGAAATGAGGGAAGCGGGCAAGGGCTCATCCAGCCCCTGCTCCGGAGCAGGGGAGGCCCCGCGGGGTTTCCCATGCGCCCATCCTCGCTTAGCCCGGCTCCCATTTGCAAGCAGGGAAAGTGGGTGGTGGCCCAGGTCACCATGAGCCTGTGGAGCTGGGACAGCAGCGGCAGCCCTAACCCAGCCCAGCTTTCCCTGCGCCTCTGATCCGCTCTCCCTTCTCTCCCCCCAACTCCTCCCCAGCCCCCGCTCCGGGACGCCAGCAGGCCCAGAAGCCTCCCAAGACCAATCGCAGCCTCATGAGCAGGGTGGGGAACCTGGCCAACACCGTCTCTCAACACACCTTCCAGACCACAAAGCAGGTGCTGAAGCAGGGCCACGCCCTGGCCATGTGGATCCCCGGGGTGGCGCCCCTGGTGAGTGTCTGCCCTGAGCTCTGACCCCCCCCAC